TCGCCACTTTACTCTTCTGCATCCTTTTGTCCCTACTCTTCCACTTCAAGGAGACAACGGCCACTCACTGTGGGGTGCCCTCGGTGAGCTCGGCCATCGGCGGGGAAGTGCCCCAGCGCTACGTGTGGCGTTTCTGCATCGGCCTGCACTCGGCGCCTCGCTTCTTGGTGGCCTTTGCCTACAGGAACCACTACCTCAGCTGCGCCTCCCCACATTCCTGCTACCGCCCACTCTGCCCCATCAACTTCGGACTCAATGTCGTGGAGAACCTCGAGTGGCTAATGCTCACTTACGTCTTCTCCTCTGAGGACTTCCACGAAAACGCCTTCGTTGTGTTCATCACCTCATCCCTCGGGCACATGCTCCTCACCTGCATTCTCTGGCAGCTGACCAAGAAGCACACAGTAAGTCAGGAGGATCTCAAGTCCTACAGCTGGGAACAGCGGCTCTTCGTCATCAACTTCGTCTCCTTCTTCTCGGCGCTGGCTGTCTACTTCTGGCACAACATGTATTGTGAGGCTGGAGTGTACACCATCTTTGCCATCCTGGAATACACTGTTGTCCTAACTGACATGGCGTGCAACATGACGGCCTGGTGGGACTTCAGGGACAAGGAGCGGCTCATAACCTCTCAGCCTGAGAAAAAACGATTCTGAACCCTTCAGTCCTGCTTGGGAGGCAGCCCACTGCCCGGAAACAAGAAACAAGAGGCCATTCTGGTCTTCCCCAACCCACATCCTCTCTTTGCCTTACTGAAGATAGGGGAAAGGTAAGAAGGGCATATGCCAAGGCTCACCCCAGTGCGGCTGGCTTCTCCTCTCCACCCCTCATATGGGCATAAGGGTCCTCAAGCAACATCATCACCCTTACCTGAGAGGCCCCAAGAAACTGAGCTGGCAGAGAGCTCCAACATTTGGTTCTTAAAAAACGTGCTGAGGGTCATGACCACCATCCAGTTTCTGACCTTTTCATAGCCACCTTTCACGAAGGTCAGGAGCCCCCGAGCAGTGGCTGCTCCCTGACAACCACAGCCGTAGCTCTCCACGGGGTCATTCACATGACTAATGCATTTCTTTCTTTCTTTTTTTTTTTTTTTTTTGCAACAGTTTACTCAAGTGAACTTGGGAAGAGAT